CCTCCACCACTGCCCTCCACTTATAATTATCTATTCTATTCCTCTTTTCTCACAGTATTTATCTGTTGCCTCTAGTCCTTTACGCTATACCTACCCTCTGTGGGAGGATGAAGCATCCTTTGTATATATGTCCAAGAGTGTTACCGCTGGATCTTGAGGCAGATCTAGTTGCATCTTCCTGAGGAACAGCCACATTTATTTCCCTAGTGGCTGCACAAAGTTTGCTCTCCTAAAAGCAGTGGCTGAATGTTCCTTTTACTCCACATCCTCATCAGCATGAGCTGCTGTACTTAGGAATTTTACCTCTAAGTAAGTCACACTCCATAGCTTATCCCAAAACCATCCCCTTAACATAGAATTTGTGACATTGCAAAGTAGTACCTGTTCTGAATTTACCTTGTTCTTGTTCTAGAGCCAAACAGTGTAATTATGTTGGTCACAATATTGTAGCTAGGAACAAAAAATTGTATTAATTTTATCTTAAAATATTCAAAATGAGCCGGGTGGTGGTGGTGCATGCCTTTAATCCCAGCACTCAGGAGGCAGAGGCAGGCGGATCTCTGTGAGTTCGAGGCCAGGCTGGACTTACAGCCTCCAAAACAATACAGAGAAACCTTGTCTCATAAAACCAAAAAAAAAAATTCAAAATGCTGCAATTTTGTAATTTCAATGTATATTGAAGTGCTTTGTACTGAAGAAACTTGAATTTATTTCTTCACTGGAGTTTAATGAAATAAACAAATATATTTTTGTTTAATTAGTTACTTTGTTGCTGCACAAGATGCTGCTAATTAGAGTGAAGGTTCTGGAAGTAGGTTGTGATTTAATGAAATTATTGTATTTGCATGTTGTCTTACAGGGTAGTTTCTACAGGGTAGAAAAGGAGCTTGATTTAAATATATTTCAACTATGGTTCAGATGAGAAAATAGTAGAGGGAATCACCTGAGCCATATTTGTTCCTAACTATTGAAGTTCTTTCTATATTTAACTAGAACTGCTGTCGAGCTTGCTGCAGTACCTAAAAAGAGATTTCAAATATATTTATTTCTTAGGAACAATGGAAAATTTATTCTCAATTTTGTGTTGTATAAAAAACTGCTACTGGGAACCAAAAAGTAATAAAAAGAAAATAATATAAAAAAATCACAAGAAGTTCTAAGAAATGACTGACTCATTTTTACTGGTGATTCTGGAATCCCGTCAAGATGAGTTTAGAATCTGCTGAAGAACTGCCTTGGGGTGTCGTGATGACCAAGTGATTGCAGCAGACGAGTCCAAGTGGGTTGTCTCCTGGGGAGGTGGCAAGAGGATAAGGAATCCACGGCAAAAGCAAAGCTGACTCATTTATTGAGGTATGAGCAGGCCCATTAAATACTCTCCTGGGACCCAGGGGTGGTGCCAAGCTGGAATGCCACATTGTCTCTCTCTCACTGACCTACTTCATCATGACATCAGCAGTCTTCAAGCCGGAGGCAGACTTCAGGTTGGTGCAAGAGGAAGTTGGGGATGCGCATGCTCAGAGGGAGTTGTGAATGCACACGCATGCTCCACTGGCCTTCAGGGGATGTCCGCTCAGGAGGTTTCAACCTGTGGAGCCTTCTGACTGACTTCTTCCTACATCAGACCACCCAATGAGGCAAGTAACTACTAGTAGTTTCCCAGGTAAAACCTTTTAACTACATATCAAGTAAGCGATAAAATAATAAACACATCATGAAGCAATTGTTAAATTCGAGATTGTAAGACAATTCCATTCCACTCAGGAGCCTGTAGGGGTAGGGGTAAATACCGTGGGTCAATTCTCTGCTCCAGAACTTGCCACTAAACATTTGACATCATAATATTGGATATAGGGGTATCTATCTATTCTAGTCAAGGAGGGAGATGGTTAAATGGTTTGGATAAGATTACTACAGAAGCTAGCACGTGACTTTGGGCTTTAAGCAATATGAGTAATATGAATTGTAAATGGTGGAAGCATTTCTCAGACACTCCTCGGAAGCTGTGTGTAGGAAATGCAAGTGTGGTGGCATAGACTCTGTGGGGAAGATGAGACAGGAAAGGACATGCCATTTCCTAACTTCCTTACTGCAGTCAAATTCCAGGAGGACAGGAACTTTTCGATTGTTCGATGATTTATCCATCAGACAAGGCAATATTTGGCAAATGGGAAAAAGGAGGCAACAAGGCATCAAAAAAGGGCTTTAATCAAGAAACTAATTGGTTAAATTTTCCCTTTAATTATTTCAGGGACATGTGGAAGTTAGCTGGGCAAATGATACATACTTAAGGTTACCAGGGGCTTCTAATAGTAGCAGAACATAGACAGGGCCTATTATGTCTGTAAAAGGAAAGAGAAAACCAATTTTAAATGAGGTAAATTAGTTGAAAATTGCTAGTAAAGAAAAGGAAAGGAACTACTTTAATCAGGATTTTACAAAGTGACTTGAACACAGGGGTAGTTTGTTTTGTTTGTATTTTATAGAACATAATGGATTCCCTTTCAGAGGATTTTTACAATGAGATCCAGTAGGAGTCATAAGAATTGGCTGTCAATTCCATAATGATGGGGCATGAGGAATAAAAGACAAAAATAATTCTTGTTCCACTTGAAGAACTATGCTATTAAGTTAAATATTGTGTGGGAAGCATTTAGCCCAGCACTTGGCTCACCTTCGACTTCCAGTAAGTGCAAAATATTATTGTCATCATGGAAAGGGAAATCACAAGTCTGCAGCCAGGTGTCACAAGTGCTTTATTATAAACAAAGTATACAAGCAGCAAAGTACAAAGATGACACACTTAATTAGCCTGCAGTTTACTGGCATTCAACATTTTGAAGGACTCATTGCATAATAAGATTTCCATCTGTATTTTCTTTCCTACATTTTTATCTTATTTGAAATTAACGAAGGAAAGTGTTATAATTTATAGCATTACCATACATATATTTAGTTAACGGAGTGATTCAGTGTGGTTTACTGAGCAAATAGGCAGGTTCTGTATCTGTGCTGCTGAATGGAGTATCCAGTCCCCAGTATCTACAAGCCAGCTGCACAGAACTTGAAATATATATTGCTTCTCCTCTTTGGACAATTATATTTATAAGGAGAAAACCAGTCTATTTGGCCCTAACTTTCTGACCACCGTGAACAACACACATTACAAAAACGGCTAAAGTATTCTAAACATATTATAAATATTGGAAGTATTTTGTAAAGTTAAAGGTATTCAGTAATTATTGTTTTCAAATTTGTGGTTTGTTACATTTTGTCTTAACCATGTCATAGTAACTAATAAATATATAAGTGCATATATTTAAAATGAGCATTGTGCTCCATTATCTTTTTAAGTCTTCAGACTTGTAAATAACCCAGAGTTAGCACAACAGTTCAGTTTTCTATTTTTTTCTCATTTCCATTGTTGAACAACATATCCTGAGTCCACCTCCTCACATTCTTCCCACAATATGGTCTAGCCCTTCCGTTCTATTCCTTAATAAGTAAATTCTTGCACCGTACTTCATGAACCTTAGAGAAATACTGCCCCCTGCTGACCAAATCACGTACGCAATTGTTTACATAGGCCCCCTTGATTTCAAGAAAAACACATGCTTATCCTAAGTTGTTTACAAAAAAGAAAAGTATCTTCAACAAATGGTGCAGGCCTATCTGGATATCTGCAGGTAGAAGAATGCAAACAGTTACATATTAATCACCAGGCACAAAACTCAAGTCCGAGTTGATCAAATACCTCGACATATGAACACAGTGAACTTGTTAGAAAAGAAAGTATGGAATAGCCTTGAACTCATTGACATTGGAGACAATTTCCTAAACAGAACACTGATAGCACAGGCATTAACATCAACAATTAGTAAATGGGATCCCAGGAAATGGAAAAGCTACTGTAAGGCAAAGGACACAGTCAGTGTTACAAAAAGGCAGCCAACAGATTGAGAAAAGATTTTCACCATCTCCACATCCAATAAAGGACTAATATCTAAAATATACAAAGAACTCAAGAAATTACACATCAGCAAACTAAACAATCTGATTTACTATTCAGGGTAAAATGGTTATAGAAAAGCTAAACCAGTGTTTCTCAACCTTTCAAATCTGTGACTGTTTAATACAGCTCCTCATACAGTGGTGACCTGAAACATTTCATTACTGTATCATAACTGTAATTTTGCTACTGTTAAGAATTGCAATGTAAATACATTTGGAGATAGAGGCTGCGACCCACAGATTGAGAACCACTGCGCTAAACTAACATTTCTAAACTGAGGCTATGTTTTTTTAGGAAGATTTTTCAGTTAATTGTGTTTCTACTAAACAAAAGATAGTTTAAAAGCAAGAAAATATAGTTTTTCTACCCTATGACTATCTTAGACATTTGTTGTGGTTTGCATCTATTTGGCTGATAATGTTCTCATGTTCTAATGTGATTGTCATTACTTCTTAGAGTAACAATTGTCTTCTCCATTAATCATAAGAAAACATATGATTGTAAGATCTCAGTCCTTGGCTGGTGAGATGGTTCAGTGAAGAAGAGCACTTGTCTTGCCAAGAGCCCAGGTTCAGTTCCCAGCATCCACATGGGGGTTCACAAATGTAACTCTTCTTCCAGGGAACTGGACCTCTTCTATTCTATTTGAATAATGACAACAAAATGCCATATCGTCGATAGGTAATTTCCCAAATTGTATAAATATTTTAATTTTATATATTTTATTATATTAAATTAAAAATTACATGCCAATCTCAGTTCCCTCTCCCTCCCACTCCCCCACCCTCCCCGCGCCCACCACTGTCCACACCTCAAACAGGGTGAGGGCTTCCCATAGGGGATCACCAAAGTCTGTCTCATCATTTGGGGCATGACCCAGGCCCTTTCCCCTGTATCTAGACTGAGTAAAGCATCCATCCATAGGGAATGGGTTCCAAAAGGCCAGTTCATGCACTAGGGATAAATAGTGGTTCCACTGACAGCGGTCCCATATACTGCCCTAGTCCCCATTAACGCCTAATCTGAAAAGAAAAAGGAATTCCTCCTCCTGGTCCCAAAATGCAGTGACCACTCTAAATTCGAATAGAACTTGTTTGTCCTATTGGGGCACCTGTAAAGAAAGGCTGCTCTGCTGTCTCTGGATTGGCTGTTGCCATGGCTCCGGTTTGTTGAGCCGCTGCTGTGCTTCTGAGTGAAGAAGGGTGCGTATGAGCGGGTCCTCCGTGGCGACCCTGGTGAGCCCAGTCGGGTGGACGGCACCCAGCGGCCCTACTGCAGACCAGGCTCGGGAAGGGTGGGGTGTACCCCGAGACTGCACAGTACGCAGGACTCCAGCCCCTTCCTTTCAGGATTTTCCTAGCTCTCCAAACTTGAAACTCCTCTGACTTGCCAGAGAGCGCGTCATCCTCCTCTGGACCACACCCCACCTCAAGGCTCAGTTCCTTTCTTCCCGTCTGCCCTCCCCTTTGCTTATTACCCATATGTAATGATTTCGTTGTTGTTCCCTTATGAAGAACGTTTTCCTGCCCTTATACCATGGCTGCAGGAGAGAGTTCCCTAAGCTTTCCCCCACTTCAGGCAGTTAGAGAGCCCGGGTGATTCACTATCAACTCGGGGTAGTCTAGGGCCGCTTACTGACTCTAGGACCCTAGCTGAGGAAGTTCCTTTCTGTACATTTACATATGTGTCTGGGTGTAAATTTTAATTTTCATTTCTCAGACAGCACAGAAAAAAAATGGCCATGAAATCGCTTGTGGGGAAGAAAGACACGTGATGTCCATATCTAGAGAAGAGGCAAGTACAAGCTTTTATTTTCCTCTCAGCTTTTTAGATTATAGTTCTTGCTTAAGTGGAGAGCCGTCCATAGAAGTAACGCGAACGGTGACACAATACATAAAAGGAATACTGAGCAGGACGCAATTTCGGTAGGTGACATATCTGATTTACGGTACTGGAAGAATGCTCATATTAAGAAGAGTAGCTCCCTCGTGTGACACTATTCCCGAGGAGGGTGAGCAATTGCCTACTAGACCTAAACGGGAAACCAAGGGCAAACCAAAGTTAAGGGCACCACCAAAATCCACCTCGGCGAACGGGTGCGTTTTATTGGGGTTACTTACAGAAATATGTTTAAGGAGTTATTTCAGAAATGATTGAAGGGCAGCTAGATCACCAAAATTCCACTCCAGTGAGATGGGAAAGCTCACAAACGCTGGGCACACGAAGCACATTGTGGGGAGACTGAAGGAAGCTCAAACAAGGTGAACTCTCAGGCTGCTGAGGTGGTCATCTCTGTTTCTCCCAGGTGACCGTCTGATCCTCTTCTAGGCAGCTCTGCTTGTCCCAGAGTGCCGCCAAGCTGTCCCTCCTGCTGGTAAATGCCTGAGAGAGGAGCCTAGTCTGGTGCAGTGCTTTGAGGAAGCCTTCAAGTAGTTTACTTAGTGAGTTTAATGAGCTTCCCTGCAGGTGGAATGTTTCCCTTCCCCTTAGACGCTTGCTTTCAGCGTGGATGCTTTACCTTGCTTTATATTCTGTATCAGAAGGGACTTCCCCTCAAAGTGGACACTTTTATGTTGGAGGAAATTGCTATATAGCAGGTCCTCTCGCCCAACAGGATCCATCAAAAAGAATGTCCTAGAAAGAACTAAGCAAATGTTTCATTTCATGTTCTTTAATACTTAGGCTTTAAAGACTAAGAACACCGAGTTATCCTGTTCAAGCAGTAGCAAATGAAGCACATATCGTGACTTTGATTGCATACCACAGTTCCTTAAGTATGAATCCAAGTTAAGTGAGAAAAAGAAGGAAAGGGAAAGAAAAATGAACAAGAACATCTAAGGGCTTGAGGAAGAGGAAATATTTGTGAAAATGTAGTGAGAGCTGACCAGCTCATTTTCAAATCTTACCCCCTCTTTGCTCCCCGGACTTGTAATAAAATGAAAAACCAAAATAATATGCAAACATGTAATGGGTTACAATTTATGTGCATGGACAAGTAAATACAGCAAAACCAAAAATTGTTACAGATTTCTTATCTTTAGAATATATGGTATGCCATATTTTGATTTCTGTGCTATCCTAACTTCCTATTTTATGTTATTAAAACGTGTTGATACAAACCAATCAGATTAACTTTTTGATAGGTCATTTGATGACACAGAGCTTTCAATACTATTGTAAAAGGTGTTATACAGAGGGGCTCATGGGCAGAAGATCTTGCCTCGAAGGCTCTTTAGTAGTAAGAAGATAATTGACTTTGTACTCAGCATCTCCCAGTCATGATCCTGTCCCCATTATTCATTAGCACAATGGCTTTAGATGGTTAAGTAGCCTCTTCAGACACTAATGTTCTTATGTAAACAGTGACTATATAATCACTAATCTGTTAAGTTCTTCCTCTGATCATCAATTATGTATTTGTCCTCTAGTCCTTGGCCTACCACAGTCCTGAGTATCTGGGACATCATCTTGGTGGTGGTGACAAAAATGATGATGATGATGTAAAGACATCTTACTATATGATCAATACCCATTTCACGTACTAATGATTTAAACTTAGTGCATTTTACATTATATGCTATATGTTACCTGTTATTGTGTGCCACTTTAGCTGTGTAAGGCAGAATTACTAGAACTTGAACTCAATGAATACAAAATAGCCATAGATTGCTTTCAGTAATACACTTGAGTTTTTCTCTTAGATGTGTTTTAATCTCTAGTCAAACTGTTTTTTTTAATGGACTATATTTGCAAAGGCAAGGTTACCTTGAAATTTCTTAATTGCGGGAGATAAGCTAGTTAATTCCATGTGGTTTTTCTTGAAAAAATGAAAGCATTGTAGTCTTTTTGGCCATGTAGTGATCAAATATTTTTAAAAATGAATAAATTAGCAGACAAAGCCATGTTCCTTATTATATAGAGCTAGACTAATGTGGTACTATAAAAATTTCTTTAAATTAAATGTCTACATGTATTTTGGATTGTGTGACAAATTACAGAACCCATAAGGTTTTTATAGACATGTTAGATTCTTTTTCTTTAAGTTCTATTTTTTGATCATTAAGAATTATGGAGGACAGTGATGACAGTGATGCAAAGCTCAGAGAAGAAATAGAAGCTGAATTGGATAAAATCAGCATTTCTTCCTTGGAAAATGATGAGGTTGAAAATGATTCAGAATCAGAAACTCAGAGTGACAATAGTGATACGGTAAGTGTTCACATTTTTTTTTCATTTTTCATTAGTTCATTGAGAATTTCATATAATGAATTTTGATCATCCTATTCCCCAACTCTTCCTCTAAGATCCTCCTCCCCTTTCCTTCTAACTCATCTGTATGCCCTTTATTTTAAACCCCAAATGAAAAATTGGTGCTGCCCATATGTACTTGGATGTATGGCCTCTTACTGGATAGAATGTGGTCCACCTCTGAAGGGCCATGCTCTTAGAGAAAGTCATCTTTCCTTTTTACTAGCAGTTATCAGTTCCCAGTAGCTCCTTAGATCCTGGCATTTGGTCTGGATTATGCTTGCACAGACCTTATGCATACTGTAACAACTACGGCTCATGTACAACATCCCTGATTTGTCTGTAAAACACTGCTTAATTGTAGTCATCCTCTGCCTGTAGCTCTTAAATTCTGTCTGCTCTCATTTCTGCAAACATCCCTGAGCCTTTACGGGAGTGTTTTACTTTTAATCCCTTTTTTTTCTGTTTGTTTTTCATTTAAAATAGTTATTTTTTGATACAATGCATTCTAATTATGGTTTCCCTTCCCCTAATTCCTTCAATATCCTTTCGACTTCAGTTCCTGGACAAATTCACTCCCTGTCTGTCTCTCCTTAGAAAGCATCTAAATAATAGTAATAAAATTAAGATAAAACAAAAAACAAGGAAAACTGCCAAAGAAGCACATGAAACATATGTGTACACACACACACACACACACACACACACACACACACACACACACTTGCACATACAGGAACTCCATAAAAATATAAAACACAGTAAAAGCAAAGGACCTGTAAGGTTATTAAAACAAATAAAAAAAAGTCACCAACAAAACACTATTAAACAAAGCACCTCCAAAGATGCCATTAAGTATCTTTTGTGCTGGCCATCTTCTGGTGTGCATGGGAACTGCCCTTAGGAGTGGTTTGTATTCCCCATTGATACTACACTTGAGAGAACTCATTTTTCATTTGAGAGTGGTTATTCAGCAGAGATAGCTTTTGAGTTAGGGAAGTGGTTTTGTCCACTTCTGTCTCAGTGTTGGGACCAAATTTGCAGCAGACTCATGCAGTCCCTGTGCATGCAGACAGTCTCGGTGTGCATCGGCCCTGCTGTGTCTAAAAGGCCTTGTTTCCTTGGTGTTACCCATCCCGTCTGGCTTTTACAGTCTTTCCAACTCCTCTTCTACAATGGTCCCTGATGGAGGACTTTGATTGAGACATCTCATTTATGACTGAGTGTTCCAAGATCTCTCACTCTCTGGATATTTTTTAGCTAACGCTATCTGTATTTGTTCTCATCTACTGCAGGAGGAAACCTCTCTGATGTAGGCTAGGAAAGGCACTGATCTCTGAGTATAGCACAATATCTTAGGAGTAGTCTTAGCAGAAAGGTAGTATTAATTTTCCCTAGATCCCTGGTTGATCTAGTCTCAGATTCTTGGCTACCCAGTGTTGGGAATTAATTGGGCATTGTATCTATCAGATACAGGCTGTTTACTCCAACTACTGCACTGACATATCTTCAGGCAGGTCATTGTTATATATCAAATAGATTGTACCTGGGTTGCTGTTTGCGTTTCTCCTTTGGTAATGTGCAGAGTACATTATAGTATTATCTACATTATTAGTTCTTAGAGGTGAAGTCTGTGGGTAGGCACCAGCTTGAATTCTCCATATTAAGTGAGTTATATAGTTTTGTTCTACAGCCTTGGTGTCAGTTTGTGGAGAACTGCCAAAAGCCTTTGTTCAGGTCTTTAATCCATGTGGAGTTGAGATTTGTTCAGGGTAATATATGTATGGATCTATTTGCATTCTTTTACAGGCAGCCATTCACTTTGACCAGCACTGTTTGCTGAAGGTGCTGTCTTTTTCCAGTGTCTATTTCTGGCTTCAAAAAACAAAAACAAAAATCATGTGTTCATAGCTGTGTTACATTTATGTCTGGGTCTTCAATTTGATTCCATTGGTCAATGTGTTTGCTTTATACTATAGTTTTATAGTACAACTTGAAATTGAGGATGGTGACATCAACAGAGTTTCTTTTATCATTCAGGACTGCTTTCACCATCCTGGTTTTGTATGTTTCTATATGAATCTGAAATTTTCCTTTCAATATCTATGAAGAATTGTATGGGAGTATTGACGGGAATTGCATTGAACCTCTAAATTGCTTTTGTCATGATGATCATTTTAACTATATTAATCCCACTGAACTGTAAGAATAAGAGCTCTTTTCATCTTGTGATATCTTCTATTTGGTTCTTTAATATCTTATAGTTTTTATCATACAAGTCTTTCATTGGTTGACGTTAACCTAAGATATTTTATATTTGAAGTACTGTGAAAGGTGTTATTTACCTGATATGGTTTTTAGTTAATTTTTTTTGGATATAGGAAGGCTACTGATTGTGTGTGTGTGTGTGTGTGTGTGTGTGTGTGTGTTTTGTATCCATCTACTTTGCTCTACTTTGCTGAAACTGTAGGAGTTTTCTAATGGAACTTTATGGTCAGTGATATATAATATTATGTCATTTGCAAATAAAGGTATTTTGACTTCTTCCCTTCCTGCTTGTATCCACTTGATCTTAATGCCTCCACCTCCAGAGAGCTAGGGTTACAGGCTTATACAACCACCCTCGGTTTTACTCACTATTAAGGACTGAATGTAGGGCTTCATCATACATTCTAGGTAGGCAATCTTAGTAAGTCAGCCACTGACCTGACCTGCCCCAGAGATCATACTTGTTAAGATTTTACTTTAGCAGTATTCATGTTTCTAGAGATTTATCTCTTCCTTCCAGATTACCCAGCATGTTTGGGTATAATGGTTTAAAATAGTTTCTTATGAACCTTTGTAACTGTTGTCTTTTTGTAGATAAAGGTTTAAGTACTATTGGAGTGAGTTCCTGATTTTAGTAGAAATGTCATTCTCTGCATTTTGGTTGATATAGTCTGTGTGTTTGCTGTAAATCACCTCTATTACATTGAGGTATGCCCCTTGTATCACTAGTCTCCCTAGGACTTTTAACATGAAGAGGTGTTGTATTTTGTCAAAGGCCTTTCTCCATCTAATGAGATGATCTTGTGGTTTTTGTCTTGTAGTTTGTTTATATGGTAGATTGAATTTATTGACTTACATATGTTCAACCATTGCTGCATTTATGGGATGAAGCCTGCTTGATCATTGTGGATGGTTCTTTTGATGAGTTCTCGGATTTGGTTTGCAAGTATTTTATTAAGAAAATCCATCTATGTTCATATGAGAAATTGATTAGGAATCTTTTTATTTGTTGAGTCTTTATGTGGTTTAGAAATCAGGATAACTGTGGCCTTGTAAAATGAACTTGGCAATGTCTTTTCTGTTTCTATTTTGTGGAATAATTTGAGGAATATTGGCATGAATTCTTCTGTGAAAGTCTGTTATAATTCTGTGTTACAGTCATCTAACCCTGGGCTTTTTGTTGTTATTATTTGTAGAATTTTAGTTACTGCTTATATTTCAGTAGGACATAAATATACATATATATATGTTTAAATTACTTATTGGACATTGATTTCACTTTGGTAAGTGGTATATTTCAAGAAAATTGCCTACTTCTTATAGATTTTCCAATATGGTAGAGAAACTATTTTAATATCTATTTGAATATCTAAAAACATGAATACTGCCAAAGTAAAATCTTAACAAGTAGGATTTCTGGAGAAGGTCAGGTCAGTGGCTGACTTACTAAGATTGCCAACCTAGAATGTATGATTTCCTCAGTGTCTGTAGTCATGTCCTATTTTGTCTCAGATTTTGTTACTTTGGATTGTCCTTCCCTGCTTTTTTGTTAATTTGGCTATAGGTTTGTCAATCATAATGATTTAAATTAATCAGAAGATACAGGGAAAGCTACTACATATTTATCAAAGGAGGAACCCACAAAGAATAGACTACACTTCTTAACATCTATGTATCACACACAAAGGCACCTGAGTTCGTTCAAGAAAAGCTACTATAACTTTGATCACAATTTGAGCCTCACACACTGATATTGTGTAACTTTAATACCTCCGTCTCATCAATAGACAGGGTCTCCAGATAAAATCTAAACAGCAATTCTGGAGCTTCCTGATATTCCCAATAGACCTGGTAGATATTTGTAGATCATTTCAAGCAAAATCAAATGAATACATCTTTTTCAGCAGCTCATTTACTTTCTACAGAACTGACCACATTTGGACACAAAGCAAGTCTGAACAGACACAAGAAAATTGAAATAACATTCTGTATACTGTCTGACCACCAGATTAAAAATGGATATCAACAACAGAAACAAAAGAAAGTTTCCGAGCTCATTAAAACTGATCAGCTTATTAATGAGTGAAAATTTGTCAAGAAAGGAATGAAAAACTCTTTATAATTTAATGAAAATGAAAGCACAACATACCCAAACTAAAGAGACAGAATGAAATCAGATCTAAGGGGTTAATTACTAGCACTGAGTGTCCTCATTGTCTACATAAAAAAATGGAGAGATCTTATATTAGTAACTTAACAGCACACCTAAAACTGTAGAACAAAAAAGAAGAAATAACATCCCAAAGGAATAGATGGCAAGAAATAATCAAACTTGGGGCTTAAGTTAATAAAATAGCAACAAATAGAAATAGCAAAGAATCAATTAAACTTTTAAGCCTTTTATTGCAAGCAGGCTTGTTAGAAAGAATTTTACTTCTCTGTGTTTGTCATTTGTTTATCTATGGCTTAGGATAGTAGCTAAAAGTTATACTCTTTGGTTGACATTTATATGCAAAAAATTTAAATAAAGATTGCCTATGATTCCCTTTCTGCTCTATGCCTTATTTTCACAGAAAACTTACATTGTGAAGTTCAAATATACTTCTGCTTCCCTACTGCTCCCCTGTACTTGGTCTTGAACTCATGGCTTTGCCCATTTTAGGACAGTGTGCTACCATTGTGCTATATCTTCTGCTTTTCTCACTATTTAAAAGTATTCTTCACTTACGTATTACTTTAAAAATAAATTTAACAATATCCTGTATTTTGTACAGTTAACTTAAGGAGAGAAAAACACTAGAGTATTACATACAAAAAAGACAGATTTTTGTTGTTGTTGTTGTTGTTGCTTCACACACAAAGACAGAATAAAACTTTCAGGCTACACTTTGGCTTAGGATATCATAAAATTACATGCAGATTTCAAATATCTCTTCTAATAAGGAAAATAAATTATAATATTAACCTAAGATGAAAGATTCAAGAATTGAAGATTGTCTTTTACAGGATGTAGAACAATCACTACAGTTTATTCGTATTTAAAAGCCTTCTTAACCAGGAAATAACAATCACAGTAAAGAGAACAGAAGAGGAGTGGGTAATGTTTTCAAGACAAATTTAGTATAATGTCATAGATTTTTGTTTGATTTTCTGTAGTGGTAAGGGAAAAGTTAACTGTATGAACTGGTTGTTGTTAGTTGCTAAAACTAACAATGCATTTCAGTAGTTACAATAAAGACAAAATGATGATTACTTGACTCATGGAGACCTAATATGCCAGAAAGCATTGTTTGGTCCCATGATATTAAGCCTGTGATCTTCTTTTGTATCAAAATAGATCTGTAGATCAGTCACTCAGTCAAACTGTGCTTTATCTTTTTCAAGGAAGTTTTCTACTCTAGGATTGTTATTAAATATATTTAAGTATTTGAATTGTTTTCATGAATAGTGTATTTTGCATTATACTTTTAAACAATAAGTGGTATTTACAGAGTGTAAGAGAAGCTTTTTCCTTGAGAGAAGCCTTCCCGCCAGCCTGGTTCTAGAGCCGCATCAGTCCCAAATAAGCACACAGGAGGCTATATTAGTTATGAAGCTGTTGGCCTTACTTGTCTCTAACTGGCTAGCTCTGCTTTAAGTAATTACCCTATAATTGTTAGTCTAAGTATGTCTCTTACCGGAGAATAGTTCCAGGCTCCTACCCCATGGCGTTACATCTTGAATCTCCTGTGTTTCTCCTTCCCAGAATCCTCCTGGACTCCTAGTCCCACCTATCTAGATTCCTATTGGCTCAACAGTGCTTTATTAACAAATGTACAGGACTTCCCCAACATCTCCTCTTTTCTGTTTAAACAAAAAGAAAGGTCTTAACTTTAGCATAGGCAAATTATATATAACAGAACAGTTATCAAGTAAGAACACAGTTACAACATTTTGTCTATCAACATTTAGCAAGATTTAAAGCAAATATCATCTATCTCATTCTTGTGAGTCCAAAGTTCTATATGTAGCTTATCTTTTATCATAACTAAGGAAAACTATAACTGTAACTATCTGTCTTCAACTCCATCAAAGACCACAGAAGGATAATATATAAACACTAGGATTGACAGAGATATCTTGCTACCTGGACAGTCACCCAAATTTCCTCTGTAACGTTGGGGCATCCATCTTCAGCCCATAGACCACAATATGTCTGGAACATTTCTCAGCAAAGCAGGAAATTTCAAACTGTCCATCTGCATTGGCAGTCTGTCAGTCATTTTTCTGTGTCCTGCAGAAAGTGTTGTAGACTCTTCCATGAAGCAGGAACCCTGTAAGACTGAGTTCAGCAGTCATTTTTCTGTGGGTCCTGCATGTCCAGATTATACAACAACAGTCAAGCAGTACAGGCAAGAGCAGTTTCTTGCCCAAATGGCTAATCTTGCCATGTTGAAAGCAAACTCCATAACAAGTTTCTTCGATGCCCATCTTCCTCTCAGATGTAATTGGTGCTGCCAGGAGCAGACATTTCTCATTGTCAAGAAAAACCCTAAACCATTTTAAATGCCATTTTCTGAAGGTCTTTGAGAGGTTTGAAGACTGTTTATCTATCTCAAATATATTTCTGTATATCTAGAAAACCTAAATTACCTAACTATAAATTCTATTATAAGTAACTATCTATAGTCTATATTCAATTATGTATTATGTTTTAAAAGATCAGTATAAGCACAATACTTAATCAAGAGGAGAAATATATACATCACAAAATTGACCTTGAATTTGTATCAATAAATGAAAAACAATATCCATGCCATAATTCCCCTTTTTACCATTAAAAAAGAATGGCTGTGATCATTAGCCAATTATAAACAATCCCATATAAATGAAAACAAAGGTTTATAAACAAGATGGGAATTAGGACGTCGCTTATTCCAAACTGCTTCGGGCTGGAAGGGGGCACTGGAAGGGGATCATGAAAAAACTCAGAAACCTGTATAAGTCCTTATTTTCAGGGTCTGTAAAGCTCCATCATCTTAGCTGTTTCAGTTGTTGGAACACCTGGTCCACTGCTTCCGGGGGTCTTGGTTCATCAAACCACAGAAGCCTGGAAGGAATCCTCAGCTTTTCATTTTCTGTAGAAACATAAATAAAATCTCCTTTCCCAAGTATCATATTCTTATACTTAAATTTTGAAGTCAAGACATTTTCAAAAGATAGAAGTTGGATTAATTTAGCAGCATTTATAATCAAGTGTACTTTAGCACTTGTTCCTTCCTTAGCAATTATAAAACTGAAAAACACAATAGCGTACAGTATCCAGACTCTCTGTGTATTTTCCATCTTTACGTGGCTTATTTATTTATCTATTATTACTTTATTTGTTTTATTTTTATTTATTTTTCTCTGAGACAGGGTTTCTCTTTGGAAATCTGCCTGCCTCTGCCTCTGGAGCAATTCCTACCAGCGTGCGCCACCACAGCCGGCTTCTTTATTTTCTCTCAAATCATACGTATATTTTTAAACACAATGTAAACCTTTAGAGGTTTTGTTCATCCAAGTCTGATTTTACTGTAAAGCTTTACGTTTTTCTGGCCACGTGTCTTATCTGTTAAAACCACGGCTGTTTAAACTGCCGTTTCCAAGATGGCGGGCGTAAGCGTGATTCCAGCTTATTGCCTCAGTTCATGCTGACATCCAGCAAATGCTGCCACTTCCAGCTGTACATACACACCTTTCAATCGTTAGCAGAGTCTCTTAAAACAACCTTGCTGGTTTTTTGTTTTGTTTTTTTTTTCCTTTTTATGCTGAGTCATGAAGACTCCAGTAAGCGAGCCGCTTGAATCTCGGCTTGTCGCTAGCAAAACACCTGAGAAAAATGCTGCTATCAAAAATCTGTGCTTCTCTCTGTTCTTCTGTTTCTAAAATTTCTTTAAAGCTTTTGTCACTCTACGTGGAAATTCAATCCCGCTCTGACACCATTCTGTAAAGAGAAGCTTTTTCCTTTGAGAGAAGCCTTCCCGTCCGCCTGGTTCTATATCCGCATCAGTCCCAAATAAACACACAGGAGGCTATATTAATTATGAAGCTGTTGGCCTTTGCTTGTTTCTTACTGGCTAGCTCTGAATTAAGTAATTACCCCATAATTGTTAATCTAAGTATTTCTCTTACCGGAGAATACTTCCGGGCTTCCTACCCCATGGTGGTTACATCTCGAATCTCCTGTGTTTCTCCTTCCCAGAATCCTCCTGGACTCCTAGTCTCACCTATCTAGATTCCTATTGGCTCAACAGTGCTTTATTAACAAATGTACAGGACTTCCCCAACATCTGAGGAATGAACTTCATTTGTTTATGTAGAATAATAATATCACTCTATTTAGGTATTTAGCAAATTTGAAATTCATTTATATAGGCTTTGTTGATAGATGTTCTATAACATTATATAAATTCAACTATATTTGATAATTACATATTAAGTACTTACATAAGGCATTAGATAGTATATTTTGTAAAATATTTCACGTTAGTTTATATTTCATAATAAAAAGAATGATATCAAGAAAATATAAATAATTCTTGATATCCAGAACTAATGAAAGCATTGGAAACATTGTATCTCTAATAAAACTGAAAATGATAACTAGGTAACCTTCTTCATTTGTTGTCTTAGAATTTTCTAGGAACATATAACTGCTGAAAAATAGAAAGAAAAATTAAGACGAATAAGTTTGCGAGAAATAGACCCATTATTTGAAGGCACTTTTATCTATTTACAGAGTTTGCTCAAAATTTTAATGTGAAAAGAATAATGCAATATTTGACTTATAGCCCTTGGTAATCCCTTCCATATTTTTTACTCAAATTTTAGGATTTAGTTGAGTTGCCAGAGTCAGTTCTTCACTGTATCAACGTCATAAGGAACAGGAGTAAAACTGCTGAAGAGCTCTTTCTTCAGGACTTAGAGGACACTGATGTCTTCAGTGAGTACATAGAATGTATATAGTAGAGGGAGTTGTTCTTCTGAAGAACCATCTTTGAGGGCTACTACCACAGTCAGCAGCATACTTCTTGACAAAGCTGAAAAGACGGGCTGTGGGATGAAGACCCAAGGTTTCCTCTGCCCCTTGCAGAACTGCACTGGTGCAAAAACTGTTGTTTACTATAATTAAGAAGTTCAGAGTTAATGCCAGTACAACCACACACAAACACACACACACACACACACAAACATACACACACACAAATTATAGAGTTGCTAATTTTCTTTTATAGTCTTATTTCTTTTCCAAAGCTCCTATAACACAATCTGGGTCAATAAATGGAAACATTGCCTGCTTCTCCTTATACAAGCAGTTTTGTTGTTGTTGTTTTTTGTTTTTGTTTTTGTTTTTGTTTTTTTTTTGGTTTTTCGAGACAGAGTTTCTCTGTATTGTTTTAGAGGCTGTCCTGGAACTAGCTCTGCTGGCCTCGAACTCACAGAGATCCGCCTGCCTCTGCCTCCCTAGTCCTGGGATTAAAGGCGTGTGCCACCAACACCCGGCATATACAAACAGTTTTATGAAAACAAAATTTTGATTCAAATCACTCACAGTAAGTTAATGGCAAAAGAATTTGGTTAGTGATATTATTTTTGCTCAGCTTCTTACATTTTAATGCATGCCATAAAGATTGTAAATAAATATCCAAGAAGAAAATATCACATTTGATAAAGCAAATGGGAAGAGTTAGTCTTTGGAATAGTCCTCTATAAAGGTGGTATGCTATTAGAAAACGTTGACAAAATTTAACACACTAGTTGAGTAAAGAAAAGGACAATGAGAAGAAAATGAAACTCAATCACATCTCTTAAAACAAAATTCATGTTATTCATCGTGGTGACTTTAATCTTTTAAATTAATGTGTGTAGTAAAATATTTCCATCATATTGTGCAAGACTCTATTGCCAGTTTCTAGCAAATACCGTTGAGCCTTGATACATTTCTGATCAAGGTGCCATTGTATACTATGTATGTATGGAATTTCCTTTGAAATAAAACACTCGATTTTGGAGAGACGCTCCTCAAAACTTAGAGTGTTCTAACGGGAGGTGAAACACTCCATCCTACAGGAAGCTCAGTGAGGCTCAGAGTATCTAAAAGGGATCCTTAAGACTTAGGAAGTAACCAGCCCCAAAGCTTCAGAAATTCCTGAAACTAACGAGACACACTAGATTATCCTCTCCTCTGGCTTATATAAACAGTAAAGACTGCTCAGAGATATTTGGAGGCAGACCGTCCTGCCTAGATAAGTCTCAAAGCAACATAACTGCTCAGAAATGACTCAAGCCATCATAACTGCCTGGAAGAGGCAGAGACCAGCTGAGCTCCTTCAGAGAGATTTGAGACCAATTGAGTTGCTTTCAGGAGATAGTCTCCAACCATTTGAGTCCTCTGCAAATCATACAGTGAGATTCAGGGTTCCAGCTTTCTTAAACTGTCAGTAATGCTGGTGTGAGCTGTGTTGATGATCAGTGATGCTGGTGTGAGCTTGTTGATGCTCAGTGGTGGTGATGTGAACTGTGTTGATGATCAGTGGTAGTGGTGTGAACTGTGTTGATGGTCAGGGGTGGTGGTATGAACTGTGTTGATCTGTGGTGGTGGTGTGAGCTGGGTTGATGATCAGTGATGCTGGTGTAAACTGTGTTGATGATCAGTGGTGGTGGTGTGAACTGTGTTGATGGTCAGGGGTGGTGGTATGAAATGTGTTGATCTGTGGTAAGTTTGTGAACTGTCTTAATCTGTGGTGGTGGTGTGAGCTGTTGATGATCAGTGTTGCTAGTGTAAACTGTGTTGATTAAACTGTCTTTGTATTAATCCTGTTCCTTGTAAGAAACCCTTTTACCTCTAGTTAAGTAAGTAATCCCAGTTATCTTGCTGGTTTACCACGTTCAATTTTGGCAATTTGTTTTCAGTGTGTAGTCAATTCCCTTTCTGGGGTGGGTATAGGTTCACTCATTCATGTCCCTCCAGGTACTGAGTATTATCATATTATCAAGCAAGAATGATATGCATGAAAATAAAACTCATTCTAGAATATGAAAATTGTTAATAACATAGAGTGCATTAGAAGTTTACTTTTATTTTACAAATAATGATAAATTTATTGCAACATTTTAATAATGCTTTTGTATTCTAAGAAGTTATTGTTACTGATCAAGTATGTTGATACAAATTAAGATAAAAGGGTAATGAAAAGGTTTGAGGTTTTGACATACACTTTAACATTTGAAATTATAGTTGTTTTTCCTTTTTCTAGGTTGTAGTTATGGTACAGTTTCTAACAGTCATGTGAATTTGAGAACTGGATCATCAGCTGAATCAAAAGCAAATTCTGAGCAATTAATGAAGGTTTGCATTTAACATCCGAATGAAAGTACTCACTATTATAGTTAGGAATTTGGTGGGCTTTTTGTTGTTGTTGTTGTTGTTTTGGTTTTTCAAGACAGGGTTTCTCTGTATTGCTTTGGAGGTTGTCCTGGAACTCGCTCTGTAGACCAGCCTGGCCTCGAACTCAGAGACCCACCTGTCACTGCCTCTCGAGTCCTGGGATTAATGCTGTGTGCCACTAACTACTGGCTTGGAATTTGTTATTTTTTTTCTTACAAGCAAAGTTAGCTTATTGACTTCAATTTGATTATTTTAAGTAAATTACATTTGGTTTCATAGTATCCTCTGTCATGTTATATAAAACCACATAAATTCTGTCATCAAAATAGTGATTTAACCATAAGTATTTGGGAGTTAAATACCCATATACATAGAACACTTAAATAATATTGCATTTATCATTTTGAAGCAAAAATGAATATATTGTAGTACTTATTCATTTTCATGTGAAAACTGTTTTTAGGGGGGTACTTTAACTATATCAGAGAACATTCAAGAGTAGAAGATGTTATATTACTTTTGGAAAATAACACAGGAGAAAATTCCTGGAAAAATAAAAGTAAAATCTAGCATTTTATAGATTGAAACCTCGAAAATGTGTTTTGAAGAACGTATTTGAAAGATTTTTTTCTTAAATTCAGTCATACTAATGATCTATTTTGTCTAGCACTGTTCCTACTTTGTAAGAGTTTGAGCACAGCTTGAAAAATATCTTGTTTCCTTTTTATTCTTTTTTGTTAACACAGATTTGAAATACTAGTTGTGAATTTTTTTACTTCATTGAAGATATCCTATGTATATTAAAGTACATTGAATATATAGTTATGTAATACTTAGTCAAAGATATGTGCATAATTCAGATTTAAGTAGATAATGTTTATATTTGTATTATGCTGAATATATTAATAGCCTGCATACATGAACAATAATAAGAGATAATAAAGATATAAATTCATCAGAAAGCAAGGTAGACATACTTTGAAGTGATTATTAAGCTTATTAATTGGCTATTATTGATTAATTTGATTATCTAGTTTGTAAAACTTTAAGAGGATAAATATCCTTATAAAGAAAATAATTATTAATTTATTTGAAAATGTCTACAGTAAATCAAATTCTCGGTATGTGTATTTAGAGATTTTTAGAGTAATTTGATTACCAAAAAAAACCCAGAGAGTGATCAGTGGACAAATCAATGAATAGTATATTCTTTCCTAATTATTTGCTCTGTTTACATGTTAAATTTACAAAAAGTCACTTTATTTCAATGATTATAAATTTAGAATTGGAAGAATGTTGTAGATTAAACTAGACTAAAAGGTTTCTTAGTAATTTTTAAACAATTTTTAAATTATTAATTTTTTAAATTTATTTTTTATATTCCAATCCCGTTTCTCCCTTCATCCTCTCCATCCCATCTCCCATCCCCTCCTCAGAGAGGGTAAGGCCTCCCCTAGTTTTATACTATTTTGTCTTTCTTCAATAATTAAATAATAAAGATACTATTTTAACCTCCCAGATATTATCTGTAATAGAAAAGGAGGAATTTATGAGAAGTCTAACTCATTCTGCCAGGTCTGATTCCATTCCTGAGCCCGTTGCTGTTGACACACCAATGGATGAATATATTTTACCAGGTGGGCAATATTCCCAGTTATATGTTCAAAACTTTTATATGATATATCAATGTGCATTGAACATTTTTTTGTGGCACCTGCAAATATACAGTTACAAAAATTTTAAAAACTGAAAGTCATTATTCCTCAATAAAATTCTTGCAAGCTGGAAATGATATGAGTTTTTTAATAGTTTTTAAAAGTCATTCACCATCATGTCGGCCTCATTCCAGGAAGGTGGCATGGTTCAACACATGTAAATTAATATACATAATTCAGAATATAAGTGAACAAAGGACAGAAATCACATCATCATTTCAGTCGATGCTGAAAGGATCTTTGAGAGACTCCAACATCCCTTCAGAATAAATGCTCTGTTGAGACTAGGGATGGAAGGAATTTGTGTGAACATAATAAAGACTGCCTATGACAAACAGATAGCCATCATCATGTTAAATAGAGAAAAATTTGAGACATTTCCAGTAAGATCACAAGTCAATATATCTCTGTTGATCACCCTTTTTCAATATGGTTCTTGAATTCCTAACTAGATCAATAAGACAAAGAAAATAAAAGGGACATAAGTAGGAAAAGAATAAGTCAAAAAGTATCTCTACTTGCAGAATACATGATTCTATACGCAGAGGCACTGAACACTGCACCAGAAATCTTCTAGAGCTGACAAACATATTCAGCAATGTGTCAGACTATGAAATTAACATATTCAAATCAACATCCTTCCCAGGTACTAAGACAGACAAAGAAGAAATGAAGGAAACAATCCCTTATTAAGGTTCCTATTGTTATAATGAAATACCATGACCAAAGAATGAGATGGGGAGGAAAGGGTTTATTTGAGTTATGTTTCACTGAAGGAAGTCAGGACAGGAATTCAGACAGGGCAGGAACTGATGCAGAGGCCATGGAGGAGTGCTTCTTACTGGCTTTCTCTCCCATGCCCTCCTCAGTCTGATTTCTTAAAGAACCCAGAACTATAGTTATGGCCCCCACTGAGAATGGGTTGGACCCTCCCCTATCAATCACTAATTTAAAAAATGCCCTACAGACTTGCCCACATCCTGATCTTATAGGGGCATTTTCTCAACTAAGGCTTCCTTCTCTCAGATGACTTTAGCTTATGTCAAGTTGACATAAATTTAGCCAGCATACCATACAATGGCAAGTTTTTAAATACATGTATGAAATTCTAAAATTAAATAAAAACACTGAAGAAAGAAATTGAAGAAGACACCTGGAAATAGATTTCTCATGTACATAGTAAGCAATAACATTGTAAAAAATGGCCATAATGATCAATAAATTTACTGCCATCCCCATCAAAATTTCAGTGAAATATTCCAAAGATTTTTAAAAAAAATCTTAAAGTTCATGTAGAAAAACAAAAGATCATTAACCAAAACAATCCCGAGCAATGTCTCTTAACTGTATCACTGAACTCCACACACACACACACACACACACACACACACACACACACACACACACACACACACACACACAATTTTAGGGATTATATTTTAAGAAAAGTTTTTTGACTTCTTTATTGACAGTAATGGAATTCCCATATATAATCAGAAGAGTTTTATGAGTGATGACATCCATTTACATTGGAAAATGCATATCTGTTTGCTTTAGTGATAGGCTTTTATGGTGTGTTTACAGAGTAAAAATATATCAGAATGATAGGTTTGACCTCAAGAGTAATACTTTTGTTCCTCTGAATCAATGTAGATGATGCTGATTTGAGTTTTGGATACTTTGAAGTAGAAGAAAGATGTAGAAAGTCTTTTGAAGCTTGGCAGGACAAACAGAAAGAACTGGAAGAAACAGATAAAGAAACTCTTAAAGCTCAGAGTTATAGAGAAAAACAGAAATTTCAAGAAGACGATGAAAAGAGACACTGCTGGATAAGACAGTTTGAAGTTGAAAAGGAAAAATTAGAAACCCTTCAGAAGGTCTGGTGCTCTCCCCTCTTCCTAGGAGCCCTAGGGCATGGTCTTTGTCTACATGACAATTTATAATCTGAGGGAGAAGGGTCTCTTGCTCTCTTTCCTCATATTTAGCAACTCTTCATCCATGTCTACTTAGATTTAGTTCTGCCATTATATGATACACAGCCAAACTTCTGTTCTTTTCATCCTTTATCACCTCTTATACTTTATTATTTCATGTCATCCTCAGCAGCCACTGATCCTTACCAGCCTGTAAAAAGCATAAAGCTGTGTTTGTAATTTGTCTGTTGATACCCCATAATACAAATGCATTTAAGCTGTATGCATTGTGTTTTTCATACATTGGGGTCCTCCAGTGTTCCCAGTTAAATGAACTAGAAGTTGATGTGAAACTGGTTTTGCTCTTTCCTCTTTTTATACTTAACCACCCTTTAAGAATTACATTGTCCACTTTTGTGTTCATATTTCTTATTGCCACTTTGAAATGGCCAAGCTTTGCTAGAGACTGGCAATATTTGCTATGCTTTCTAATTGATCTCCTACCTTCAGCTCTACTTAGTTTTCCAATTCATCCACTCAGTTGCCATCAAAGGACTATTTTTAATGTTAATTGTAAATTTCTATCCTGTGGAAAGAACCCACAGATAATGTTCAAAGAATGTTCTCACTTTTCTTTTTTCTTTTATTGAAAATAGTTTTTTCATTTAATATCTTCTGATTATGATTTTTCCTCTTCCAACTCCTCCCAGTTCCTCCTCACCTCCAATTCTGTCTAGCTCCATACCCTTTCTATCTCTTGTTAGAAAATATGCAGACATATAAAAATAATAATAAAATAAAATTTGATAAAACAAAACAAAACAAATTAAAATAACTCAAAACAATCAAACAATAACAAGAGCCAAAGAAAAGGCACAAGAAATGCATATTGACTCGCATATGATTACACACAGAAGAATCCCATAAAAACATAGAAATGAAAGCCATAATACATACACAAAGGAAGAATACTGTTACTACTATTAGCTATTATTATACAATTATTACACATGTAATTAAAGACTCTGACTTAAAGTTCTAAGACAAAGAACCCCAGAGATGACTTTGAGTTCATTTTGTTGCCATCACTGCTTGTGATGGTACGAGTGGTTTGCTTCCCCCATCAGAATCCCTTGGCGAAAACAAATATTCATTTACAAATACTTACCAACTGGAGATAGCTTCTGGGTTAGGGATGGGGGCTTATATCCACCTCTTTGTGCACACAAATCCCCATCTGGTGCAGACCTCTGTAGAACCTCTGTATATTGTCACCGTGTCTGTGAATTCATAAGTTCTCCAGTCCTCTTGTGTCTAGAAGGCCCTGATATTCTTGGTGTTCCTCATCTCCCTTTCTCTTCTAATTGTTCCTCTTCCTTTCCTACAGAGTTCTTTGAGCCCAGGAAGGGGGATTTGATGGAGACATCCCTTTAAGGGCTGAGTGTTCCAAGGTGTCTCTCTCTCTGAATTTGATATGACTGCCCCACTGCTGCAAGAATAGATTTTTCTGATGATGGATGAGCAAGGCACAGATCAATTGAATATAATAGAATGTGGTTAACATTCATTATTTGCTAAGTTAATTTAGCAGTACAGCATTGTTTGATTTCTTCTAGGTCCCTGGCATATCTAGGCTCAGGTTTTTTGTCCCAAGCAGCATTGAGTATGAGTTCCATCTAATTGGGTGAACCTCAGCACAAATCAGACATTTTGGTTACTCTCATAAGCTTTGGGCCACTGTTACACTAGTGTATCTTGCAGACAGGTCACTTTTATAGGTCATAGGGTTTGTAGTTGGATTGGTGTTTACCTTTCTCCCTTGGTGTCATGCAAAGTACCTTCTAGTGTGATCATGAACAGTAGTCTGTGAATGCTTTAGGTAGGCACCAACCATACTTCTCCATGTTCAGGGAGTTTGTAGATATCGTCTCCAGCATCAGTTTATGGAGAGCCACCAACAGGCTTACCCATAGCCTAGGTTGTTTGGGGAGTCATGATTAAGTAGCCCATTCCTGGAACTGGAAAATTCATTTGTTAATTAGAGATGTGATGTTCAGTTGGGGCTCTTTACCTCCCATTATTTGGTGATTTCATTTAGCTGACATTCAAACACACACACATACACACACACACACACACACACACACACACACACACACACACGGAATCTTCTGTTCTATTAAGGTACCATACCACCCCACAAATGGCCTAAATTTTAGACATCTCTCCATATATTACCTCTTTCACCCTCTCTTCCTTTCCCCTCTTGTTAGATCATCTATTACAGTCTGCAGCCTCATCCACCCATCAATGTCTATTCTATTTCCCCTTCCTAGGGAGATCCATCCCTGTCGGCTAGTCCCTTACTCTATACCTATCTAGCTCCATCCATTTACCTGTGGATTTCATACAGATGATTAATACTCCATTGTGCACATATGCCACATTTTCTTTGTCCATTAAACCATTGGCATAAATTGTTTCCAATTTCTGACTCTTGTGCATGGGTAGGTAATGAACATGCTTGAGCAAGTGAGAAAGTCTGCCTCTGTAGTAGGATGACATGTCCTTGAGGTATGTGCCCAAAATTGGTATAACTGGATCTTTAGTAATTTCACTCCCAGCTTTCTGAAAAATCACCACTCTGATTTCCATAGCAGCTGTACAAGTTTGCACTCCCACAATCGATGGTTGAATATTCCTCTTACTCCACATCCTTGCCAGCGTAGGCTGTCATTTGTTTTTTATTGATGGCCATTCTGACTGTTCTTAAGATGAATCTCAAAGTAGTTTTGGTTCACCTTGATGACTGTGATGAACACTTCTTTGAGTGCTTTTTAGTCATTTTATTCTCCTCTCTTGAGCATTTTCTCATTAGATATTTATGTACCCCTTTAAAAAAACTGGGTTATTTTCTTATAAAGTTTTGAGTTCTTTTACATATTTTGGATGTTAGCTCTCTATCAGAGGAGTGGTTGTTACAAATCTTTTCTCATCTGTAGCCTGTCACGTTGTCTGGATGACAGCATCCTTTGCTTTATAGTTTCACGAGGTCCCATTTATTAATCAATGTTCATAGTCACTGTGCTGTCTTCTGTTCGGAAAGCCTTTTGCTATGCCAATGATTTCAAGACTCTTCCTGCACTTTCTCTTCTGTCAGAATCAATATATTTGGCCGTAGGTTCAGGTCTTTGATCCATTTGGTGGTGGGTTTTATGCAGGGTGAGAAGTATGGATTTATCTGCATTCTTCTACATGCAGCTATCCAGTTTCAATGACAGGTTGAAAGTGGTGTCTTTTTTCCCGGTATGTATTTCTGGTTTCTTTATCATAAACCAGGGTGTGTTTGTTTCCGTCCTGATCTTCAATTTGATTTCATTGAGAGCCTGTCTGTTTCTGTGCCGTTACTGTGCTGCTGCTGTTACTATAGCTCTGTAGTCAGTAGTACACTTTGACATCATGAGTAGTGATAACTTTAGCAGTTCTTTTAATCACTTACGGGTATTTTAGCTGTCTTGAGGATGTGGGGAGATTTTCACATTTAATCATTGTTTATAAATGTGTGAATTAATCTGATATAATGAATATGTTTTTGGTATTTGAATATAATAATATTCTGATGTTATTCTACATTCAGCAAGACCAGGACAAAATTAATGATGAACTTCATAAAGAAGAGAAACTGTGGAAAGAAAAATACAGAGAACATGAGGTATATATTTGTTGTTTTGTATTCATATATTGTTATTATCCTTTTGAATTAAATTATTTATTGTGCTTTTTTAAATAATGTGTATATTAAGATACTGTTACCTATATGGTATGGAATTTAACTATTTCAACGTTAGAAATTTGTTAACCTTAGAAACTCTCACCAAAAGAGAATATCCTAAAAATAAAAAGTTCAGTAACTGTATCTTTACAAGATTGAAATTCTATGTTTTAAAAGTAAATATGGTATTGAGAACATTCCATAATATTGCAAAATTTAAAGAAACATTACTGTATTTTGACACAATTATTTGAGTGTGTTAAAGGGTTTTGAACTTAAGGTAAAATAGTTATCATAAATATTTCAGGGTTTTTTTGTTCCCATATTTTTATATAAACTTGCTTAAATGTTTAGAAATATAAAATATATAAAATTTTTCATTAAATCACCAACATAGAGTATATAAATTACTGTTATCCAATTGCACATTGCTTCATTTTTTTCTCTTTTTTAAAGATTTATTTATTATATATATAAAATTCTGCCTGCATTTAAGCCTGCAGACCAGAAGAGGGCACCAGATCTCACTATAGATGGTTGTGAGCCGCTGTGTGCTTGATGAGGATTGAACCCAGGACCTGTGGAAGAACAGTCAGTGCTCTTAACCACTGAGCCCTCTCTCCAGCCCATGTTCTTTCTTTGCATTTCTTTTCTCAATTTGTATTTTGAATCTTCCCTTTATATACTCCTGAAATGTAGGTTTATACTATTGTATTTAAATGTAGAAATCACTAGTCGTGTAAATAGAAAAAAATCATACGAGAGTAAAAAGGAAAATTCAAGTGACATGCCATCCAAACATTTGATAAAATGGATCCGTTAAAATAACCAGAACTCTCAACCAGTAGCATAACAATTACACAGATAATTTATAAAGAAAACTTAAAGTAGTAAGTGTATGTCCTATGAAAATTTAATGTGAACATTAAAATTCATGAATGAGCATGACAATATATTGGATATATAATGGGAATTTGACATTTACTAATATATATGTTTCTATGTCAGAAAAATCAGTTTAATAGTAAATTTTTCCTATCTTTACCCAGTAGATTTTTCTTAAATATTTTTATTTTAATTTTTACCTTGAGTCTAAAATCCAGGCCTTCTCTGTTGACTCTCGACAATTCAGTGATAGGATTTCATTTCAAATTTATTTATTTCAGCAACTGCAAATTTATTCTTAATCCACATATTCTTTTGAAGCTTTAAGATTTTTCACATTATAAGTTTAGTGATTTTTAAATATGTGTCAAACATTTTGCTAATTGATATGTGAAAAAAGCAAAAAAGAATACCTGTGTCCCTGAAGATTTCTGTGCTTTGGATATCTGTGTAAGTTTGTATTGTGTGTGTTAAGAGAGGGGGTGTAGAATTAATTCTGCTATTTTTCCTTAGTCATATTTGAATTAGTATACAAAATTTTGTATTTTGTATTTGTATACAAAAAACCTTTATATTACTTTTAGACCTTCAGTTTTTCTCAAATATTTATTCTGGGATGCCTGCTGGTCATGCATAAGGTGTGTGTGTGTGTGTGTGTGTGTGTGTGTGTGTGTGTGTGTATCTGTTTTATTCCTGATATGTATTTCATGTCTTTTTCATTTGAAAAAAATATCTCTTAGAAAAATTTTTCTTTAGGCCATCAATCACCCAGACATTCACTTTTTTTTCCTGATTTTTTTTGTTTGAATGGAAAATCATTCTAGTGTATATATATTTTTATAAAGGGTAATTTTATGCTGAAGATTTAAGCCAGTTTGTAACTGCTTAATCTTACTACCTCCTGAATTGCTTTACCAGCTAATATTCTTTAAATATTTTCTGACTTATTTGTGTCTGTTTACTTATGTTTTGGTCTCTATTATTACAGCATCTATGTCAGGAAGTTTGAGTCCCTCTTTCCTTCCTGGATTTTGGTTTGTTTTTCCCTTTGTGTTTCCGGTGTCATCTTGATTTCAAAGGCTCTTTCTACCTGCAGATAATCCCTTAATTGTTGCCTCATTGGCTCATAACTTAAAAGAGTATTATCAAAGTCCCAATGCGACCCAAATCTTCTAAGCATTTAAAAATTGAATTTCCTATAAAATAAGTGACAAGTTTTTCTCAGCGAATTTTATAGCAATTTGACTCCAGATCTAGGTTTTTGTGTCATTTTAGTTCACTTATAAAATCGCTGATTTAGCCCATGCTCATGGCTATTTATCTTAATTTATCTTAGGAACTTATTAGAAACTTGCATTTACAAATGGAGGAGGAAAGAGCAAGATTAAGTGAGCTCCAGGAAAACGAAAAGGCACGCTTGCTAACACTGCAGCACAATGCAGCTGTAAAAATCCAAGCTAAATATAGAGCGTTTATAGCTTACCGCAAATACAGTCCAATCATAAGAGAGCAAATAGAAAAGAAGAAGAGGAAAGTGCGGGAGTGGAAGGAGAAGGAAGCAAAGATCCGACAAATGGAGGAAGAGAGAAGAAGAAGAATTGAAGAGGAGAAGAGGATTGAGGAGGGGAGAAAGAAGAGGATGCTGGAGGAAAGGAGGAGGCGGGAAAGGGAATATGAAGAGAAAAAGAGCATCCTGAGACAAGAGCTAGAGGAGCAAAGAAACAAGGAAAAGATGAGACCCAGGGAAGAATCCTGCCAACTGCTCATCATTACCCCTGCTTTGGAGAAAGGGGAAGGTCGTGCCAAGCAGCCAGCTGTCGCAAACGTGGCAAAGAATAAGGATGCTATAACCGAAGAGTTAGCGAACACCAAATCAAAGAAGCAAAAAGATGCTTGTCTGGTTCAGCAGTCAAACGAGAGAGAAAATGTTCATAAACAGTTGACACTGAGAGAATCAATAGGAGTAAAAATTAAACAGAGCCAGACCGTTTTGGCAGAATTAAAAATGAGTGAAAAAAATGAAAACTTACCAAAATTAAAAATGAAAGAAAAAAATGAAAACTTATCAAAATTAAAAATGGAAGAAAAAAATGAAAACTTATTAAAATTAAAAGTGAATGAAAAAAGCGAGAACTTACCAAAGAAACAATGTTCAGAAAAATCGACTAATCAAGAAATTACCTTTGAAAATACAGAACAAAAAAATGAATTGAAAAGCTCAGACTTAAAGGAAAATGTCAATAAGCAGTGCCAGGGGCAAAAACTGGAGTCTCAAACTCAAAAAGAGGTAAAGGTGAAGCATGCCACAAAGGAGAATATGGGACAAGAAACCCAGATAGTGTTTGGATACAAACCAGAAATGAATGAAGAGGACAACAAGGAGGCACAGGAAATCATCAAAGATAATCGAGAGAGACTGGCTGAAAATATAGAAAAAAAAGACATAACAGAGCAAGATGGATCATTGTATGAGAATTGTTCTTCAACTATCTCCGTGCAAAAAGATCTACTATCATCGCTAATATTAGAAAATCCCGAACCTGTAGAAAGAAATGTAATGTTAGAAGACAAAGAGATTGATTTAAAATCTAAAAGAGTTGAGGAAATCCCTAAAGACATTATTCTGACTTCTGATCCTGTGGTCATTAACTCAGATGTCCGGGTGCATATGGAAGACAAAACAAACCAGCAGGGTGCTGTCTCAGGCAAACAGGCATCCAGTGAAGAGACTGGCAGTCACAGTGCTAATAGCCCCTTGGTCACCGAAGAAGAGGACTCTCCTAAATCTGAGATTAAAGACATTCCAGAACAATGGAAGCAAACTAGGGATGAAAGTGACAGTGTCCTGGTCAGCTGTGTTTCACAGATAACCGTTGAATCTTCAGTTGAGGAGAGGAGACTAGCTTGGATAAAGTCATTTAAACCTTGGTCTGAAGTCTTTGAGCAAAGTCAACTCAAGAAAACCATTAAAAAAAAGAGACTTATGAAGTGTCCAGCAAATACAATGCCTCCTTTGGATACATCAGCCATTCTCCAGATTGGCCCTTGGAATACTTTACAGCAGGTATTTATAGTTTGAAAATACTATTTTTACATGGAATGAAAAATTAATTTTCCATTATGTAGTTTTGTTTTTCAATGGTTTTATGCGTAGGAATTCTACCTCTTGATGACATATGGCCTTGTTTCAGAGGACTTATATTTTTAAGAACTTACGTAAAAATTTTCAGGGCATTACCCATTTCGGCAGTCTAAAGAGCTGTGATTTATACTTTTCAGTGTCTTGAGTTTTGATTCAAGGCCCTGTAGGAACATCTGGAAATTATGGTTGGAGTTATAGGAGGACACAGTAGTTTAGCTGTTCAGGAGTTTATTCCGGATTGGGGCGAGCTGTCGTCCTTCATTCACGTGAAAACAGCTACTATAGCAACACTGACAGGATGGAAGACCCTTGATTTCCCATGTGGACATACTATTTAGCCATATGCCATATAGTTGCAAAACACAGAGGCTGAAAACACAGCATAGTTTTCATTAAGTGCTACTAATTTTCTCTTATGGAGAACACAAAGTCAAACAGACTTGACATAAACACCTATGTGTGAGGAAATTGGATTGTATAATGCTTCAAACAAGTTACAATTTTTATTTAACTGTATCTTGAACATCAAATATATTTAGTAAAATTTATTTTCGAGGCATGAAAATGATGTATTTTTTACAATCTCAGTTTTAAGCAGCATAGTCTTGTGCTGTCACAGCTCCCCTCAATCACTTGAGTAAACGATTAGTAGGGTAATTTTACATTGTGATACTTGGCCATTATTGAAGGTAAAAATTAAATTTCAGGTAACTAATAGTAGTTAATCAGGGTAGATATTTAAGATCATAAGAAACCCAGTACTGTTTTTTCAGAATTATAGTTTTATGGTATACAATAACTAAGGATACTAGGCCATAGCATTGCTTTTCACACATGGAAACAGACTATGTGGCAGGAAAGAGGTACCAGTTCTATCCATCAACGTGGAGGCAAGCTCCAACATGTGTCATGGAGAGGCTCCATTGGAGTAGGAGGTCCACGTCTGGCACCATATCCTCAACATGGAATGGAAGGAAAATGCTCTGTGTCACCAGCTCCTCACCTTGAGACAAGTAGGACCTATCTTGATCTCAATGAGGTACCATGATTCTGAAGATTAACTTAATCAGAGGACACTAGTTCTTATATCATGAGTGTGTATGGAGAGCACCCTCTTAGGTAACAGAACAGGACTACAGACAATGAACTATTCACATCTTCTATGGGTGCTTTTCATGAAAATATTTTTAAGAGTCCATAGCATTTTATGTCTTCTTGCTTTGTTGCCCTTATTTAAAAAGAAAATTGACAGGGTCTTGCCATGAGGAATATACTGTTCTTAAACTCATGATACTCCTGCCTCATATCCCATGTGCTGGTCTCACAGACTTGCACTACTATGGATGTTTATCCTTTTAATTGCTTCAGGTCAGGGCATTGTGTATGCCACTCAAGTGTTCTCCTACCAAGCTACCTCCAGATTATATTCCATTTTTTATGTAGACAGGTACCCAGAAAAATCAACACATCAATAAATAATATAGCATTTTTTCACTTGGAAGTTTTTCATTTGTCTAATATATTTGACCAGTAATTATTGGTGAGTGAAACAGAAAATGCAGACTTTGTCCCTTATGAACATAAGCTAAGAAATTCTCCATAAATTTTGACTGCCATAAATAAGATTTCTGTGTATTCTGTGAAAGGAAAAGAAATTAATTGGGTTTGCTGATTTACTTTCTTTGTGTATTCAGGATTTAACTATCATAGCTAGCACGAACTACAACTTAACTATATTCCTTGCCCTTTGGTAAGAAAAAAAATGGTTTGAGACAGAGTCTCATGGAATTTCCCAGGCTGGCTTTGAGCTCACTATGCAGCATTGTAGGCTGAAAGCCTCCTGCTCCTGCCTCAACCTTCTGATTACTTGGAATTGCAGGTTTTTACCACCGGTTCTGGCTGGTGATGAGATTTAGAAGAGACATCTTGGCTGGAGACAAAGAACGTAAAACTCAAGAGCTAGAAACTACAGTAAAATGTCCTCCATTTCCTAGTCACTGTTTGGCCATGGTTGCCAGCTCTGTGCAGCCACAGAAAGGATCTCTGTCATTCTTCACTGGTTTTTAGTTGGATGCTGCTACTTCTGGGGCCATTCTTTATATCGTCTCCTTTCCCTAAGTTTGTTTCAGGCTTTTCAGTATGATTACAGTAGACATTACTTGCAAAAACTACCCTCATGTACGTATCTTAGAGCTAGCTACAGGTCACAGTTCTAGATCAACAGTGTAGCCTGCATTGAAAGTACAACATAAGTTAGAGGAACTGAGAATTGCTCCTCGTTACTAGCTGGTCTTTGTCCCTTCAGTGAGTGGAATACTGACTTTTCTTCTGAATGCTTCTTTTACTCATGCCCTTTTATTTCTTGGGAACTCCTGTCAGCTTCCACAAAAGGGGATTAGCTCTCTTTACACCTTTTGGAGGGTCTACTAAAATGCCAACTAGATCTTGTGGTTAAGAGGTTGAACAAATATTACCTATTACTCTCGTCTCTGAAATGATGTGGTTAGCACTGGCAGGTAGGCCAATTTGATTAGCTGTGTCTACAGGAGTCTATCTTACTTTCACTGTCACTAAACAACTGATACAAATATTTTATAAAAGTTTAAAATAGGTATTAATATGTCCTGAAAATACTGAAATTATAAAATACTTTTTTGTTTCCAGAAAGTTCCTGTAATTTTTCTGTTTGACAAGTAGTTTATCATAGTATTTTATTCAACAACAGTAACGTTCCTACTGATTGTCTGATCATTTATCTTCAAATATCTGTGCCTGACCTCACAAACATCATCTTTGGAAGGTTTTTTAAAGGTGGTGTGGGGGAAATGTCAAAGTGTATTTCAACTTAGGTTATAGATTCAAGGATATTTCATAATTAAATCTCTAAAAGATTATAGAAATCTTGGGTCATAAATATACAAATATATATATAAATTATTTGAGAAAATATGTATGATTAAATGAAAAACAGTAATAATTATGAAGGTAACGAATTAATCATAGTTTCATAGGTGGGACAGTTCATCCCCAAACCGCAAGAGATTGAGACACAAAATTATCACATGTTTTTATATGACTGCTATAAATATATTTGAATCTTGTTGAAAGGATTCATTTTTTTATTTGGGAAACATTTAGTCAAATTCCTTTATGTCCCAACTGATATTTTTCAAGCTGATTAAACAATGATGGGCACATATGATTACTACTATATCTACCTGAACTTGAGGGATAGAAAGCAATTTAAAGCATGTGATTTCTATAATGCATCAAACAATGAATATGACATTTATTTTGATATCATATGTTTAGAAAACTTTAGGATGGAGTATAGGATACATTAATATATCACAGGGCCTTTTAAATGTTCAAACAAATGGAAGGAATACTGTGAAACTGCCCACATGTAGCCAAAGGCAGATGCCTGTAACAAGGTGCCGACATAACCTTCATTTATGAACTGTAATGAAATGAAACTACAGAAATTAGAGAGATTGCCCTCTCGTAAGTAACTAATATATGATTCTGACTGTAGAGTTGGCTGAAATAGGCATGCTGTCAAATCGGCAGAATAATGTTTTTCATTATTACATAGCTTGCTGTAATTGTCAGATTTTGAGTTATTCAATTCTCAGTCTGTTTTCATTTTCTAGTGCACAGCCACTATCAAATTATAGAATTTATCTGTTTGTATTCAAACTCAATAAGAAGCTCATTTGCCACTGTCATTTAAGTGGATTATACATTTTCATTCCTAAAAATATTTGAAAGATAATTGGTTTCAAGGATTACTTTAGGTAATTAATACTTGCTACAATTGAGATGATTATAAAATGGAACCTTTATTAACCTGAAGTTTAAGAAATAAGTTATTACTTTTGTTGGTTAAGCAAGACGTGGGCCAAATGTTGTCTGTGTAACTCCATCAATGTGTGTCCCTGTCAATTCTATTGTTGGACACACAGCACAGACCTTTATGCTATATTATACACAGAAAAGTATTTCAAATCCTGAAAACAACAAAAATTTGCTAAAGTTGAGGGAAAGACTATATAAGGGATTATGACATTGCTTTCATGTACTTTACCTTTGAATTTGAATTGATTATGAATGATGCCCTGACTTATCTTGCTGTGTTGCAAGTAAAAGAGACCAGATAGGTAGACTGAAACTGAGCTCTTAATAAAGGTAGGATTCTACATATACAATTTCCTGGGTGAATTTTTGAACACCTTTGCAAGGCTATATTGTGCTTTCCAATGGTGTCACTCATCACAGTCTCCTTGAAATGTCTAGGTCACGGCCATTACATTTCAGGATTTGCCCGGCTGCAGTCTCTCTACACTGGCAGAGTGCACGAATCTTCAGCTTTTGTCCCTCCAACGCTGCGGATTAACTTCATTGTATGGCCTGAACCACTGCAAAAACCTCAAGTATATCGATGCACAGGCAAGTTGCTTGCTGTTATCGTTTACCATACAATAAATATTAAATGGATGCATGTTTAGATTTCAGACATGATAGTTTTGAAGAAGCAGTAAAATAACTAGCTGAGCATCTTATACCTGTTGACTTGGTCTCTTATAATTGTCACCTATTAGTTGGGTTGAGAATTTCCAAAAATCCTGTTTTTGTTTTTTGTTTTAGCTTCATTGTTAAGGAAGTCTCAAAGGCGAGACTGTCTTGTGGCTGTTAGAGGTTCTTACTTTCCAAAATTGAGAGTCATCCAGACATGTACAAGTGTACATCAAACATCTGTCTACAGCATGTCACCCAACTTTATATTGGCTGAGCTCTGAGGTCATTTAGGAGGCAATCACATGTGGGCCAATATTGGGTTATCAGAATTTTTTGTTTATGTTTTTCTAGACAGGGTTTCTCTGTATAGCCCTGGCCATCTGAAAACTCAGTCTGTAGACCAGGCTGGCCTTGAACTCACAAAGATCCACATGCCTCTGCCTCCCAAGTGCTGGGACTAAAGGCATGGGCCACCACCATCCGTCAGGTTATCAGGTTTCTAAGAGACTATCAAATTGGTGTTCCTCAAAAATCTATCACCCTCTGTCTTCTGATGATTCACATAGAGAAAATTTCCTCATGTCTCAAAGATCACAGAATCGTGTCAATTCATGCCATCCATTCATGAACGTTGCATCTACATCAGATCCTGGTGGAAGAGCAGCTTCTCACTGCCCTTTCTCAGGTCCTCTTGTGAAAGGATGGTCCTTACATGTCAGAGAGATGTGTAGCGAAATGGAAAGATAACCCCCCTCATCCTCGCAGGAATAATGGTGAGAATGGGCTCAACTTATCACCACAGCCTTTCCCATCTGAAGCACAAGCAACACAACTAGCAACCATTCCACTGCACTCATTTGGGTTGTTCAAAATATTTTGTTGTATTATCCTCCATGTTATTAAAGAATATTAAGCAAATGTAAAAATAGTTAATTCTTTGTGGATTCATTTTTTTCTTCATAGTATACCTATTTGTATGAGTATTTTAGAAATTAGAGACTTATGTGTCAATTTAGACATCATATCTCAACTTTAAAATTTTGCAAGAATTGCGTATTATATTTATAAGATAAGACATTGAAATAAAATTAGTGTATTTTTTCTGTCTTTGCTTTAGGAAAACCAAATTGAGAGCATCAATTGTGAAAATTTGGAAAATCTCTGTGTCGTTCTTCTTAATAAAAACCTGCTGACTTGTATTCATGGTTTGGATGGATGCACTAATATCCAAAACCTTGAAGTTTCACATAACAAAATCACTCGAATCAGTAAGGTTAATTTTAATATTTAATCACTTATTTTGCATAATTTCATTTCGTTTCATTTGCTTGCTTTAGAGAAAAAAAACCCTATCTTAAAAACCAAAACAAAATAACACAAAACAACAAAAAACCCTGGGAAGATGTGAGGGCAATGCTCAGTTGTTAGAAGGCTTGAAATTCAAGCTTGAGGACATGAGTCTGGATCAAAGAATCCCTGTAAATGCTGTGTGGGTGTGGGAAGCTATCTGCAATCTCTGTCACTGAAGGAGGGGATCAGGGACCCTCAGCACAAGCTGCCTTGCAAGGTTAGATTCATCAGTGCACTCTGGCTTTAACTGAGAGATTCTCCCTCAGTGAATCAGGTGGGAGAGCAATGCAGGATGACTCCTTCAGCATCAGCCTTGGACCTTCGCATGTTCATGTACATGCATATGCATGCTCATATATCCACAGTGTGCCATATGTAATCGAAGGTGCATACTACATGCATACTGTATGCATACATGTGCACCCACATACAGACACATAAGAAGTGAAAAGCAAGTCAGGCTAGGGAGCACATATCTGTAATCTCAGTGGAAAAGAGGTGAGGACAGCTAGATTCCTCAGCCAGCCTGACGTCAATAGTGAAGACAGTGAATTCCAGAGCAATGAAGATGCACATCATAATCACACAAACACCTCCCCAATCTCCCCTCACACACAGTGGGCCACTATCTCTGATTTGCATATTTTACTATTTTTATACCTATTTAACCTAGATTAGAAAAAATGACATTGTTTAAATGTATATGAAAACAATACAAACTATGTGTCCTAAGTGAATAGCTGTTAGTAGTCCCTGAAGTTAGGACATTCTGTCCTTTGTTCCTTTTCTTATAGAAATGAATTAAACTACACCGGGGAATTTAAAAGCCATTTGTCTGGCCTAATTTTATTGATTCTGTACACGCCACAATTCTCAGAATTTGCAAAAATATTTTCCTATTTACTTGCTGTTTGTTACTAACTAGATCGCTTGAACTGACCCTGTCCTCTTTCACGGAGGTTGCTAACATCACACGACATAGTGTATTAGGGTAAATTTCCCCTGGGCCTCCCAGTAACTCATAACTGAATGAGCATAGCTGAGTATCTGAAACTATGTGTTTCATACTTTCTAACTGATGCAGCTGAACAGATACACTTAAGTTTTTAAAAAACTTAACATCAGAAACTCAAGGACCCTGGTAGGGACTGAACTAGCTCCTCAGCCAGTTCTGGAAATCTGTGCCTGTTTTCCCACATCTGTGTGTGACTTTTGTCTGGGTTGAGCCTGTGCAGGTCTCGTGCATTCTGTTGTAACCACTGTGAGTTTGTATGTACAACTGCCCTGTTGTTTCTGGAAAATACTGTTCCCTTAATGTTATCTCCTACCTCTGGCTCTCTTAGGCTTGATGCCTCCTCTTTCTCAAAGATCCCTGAGGTTAGGGGAAGAAGTGTGATAGGTATGTCCGACTTAGGCCCAAATATTCCACAGTCTCTTATTGTCTACAAGTTGACAAATTGAGGGCTTTGTGCTAATTGACCTCTACTGCAAGGAGAAGCTTCTCTGTTGAGCATCGAAGGATGCTCTGATCTATGAGGGTAGCCATACGTCATTAGGAATAGTTTTATTTTTGTGTTCATTTAGCAGAACAGTAGAAGTAGGGTTCTCTTTTGGGTCCTATGACTAATCTATTCATAGGTCTGTGACCCCTTTTGCAGTGTCATACAATCATCTCATAGAGAAGGATTCAAACTCAACCAGAAAGTGGTTGGTTATTCCCATAACATTTGTGCCATTATTGTGCCAGAGGTCATATCTGGCCAGCACTGTCATCACTGAAGCTCACACAGCTCACAGTTGGGTGAACAAACGCTTACTCTTTTTCCCTCCAGTATCATGTATAACACATTGTAGCACCATGAAAGATAGTCACTAAAGAGTTAGCTTCCATGTGAGTATTGTCTCGTTTTATCCATGTTGTTTCCTCAGCAATAGGATCTATTAATGGAGCCTTCTAAATTTTTGATGGGTCTTCCTATCTAGGTTATCTTAATCAGGAGCATCTCTTTCAGGCATGTCCAGATGCTAACCTATCTAGACCATACGTCACAGGCAGTACCAGGGAGTCCTTTCATAGCTGGATAATAGTCCTTTCCAGTTGTTAATCAATTTTAGCCATCATGTCATCATCATCATCATATCTCTATATATATTCTCTCTCTGTCTCTCTCTCTCTCTCTCTCTATATATATATATATATATATATAATTTCACTATATGTAGCACATTTTAAGTGATGTTCTTTAAGATTCCTCAAATTTTTCGCTTGTGGAGTTTATACCAGTCCTTTTCCATGACTGTGTATTATCTTTTCATTGTGAATTACTGACTGATGGTAGGTCAGTTAATTTTCTGTGATTTACATTGCAGGCCAAGGAGTACCTGTGATTTAGAAAAGTCAGTGTTGTACTCCCTCAATATGTGTAGTGTTATTTTGCATGTCAAATACTGAGTATATCAGTTTCTTTTCTGTTTACTGCACTGTTGATTTTTATGCTCAGACATTTCATTCTAATATTGTGTGTATATTGGCATAAATACTTAAACTTCACATATTCCTTTCTGCAGGTTCTGATATGTATTTTAATTGATTCTGTAGTTGTAGGTTGTACTTTTTCTGAAGATTTAAATTTCTTTTTAAACATGTTTATTGTTATTCTTTCTCATTTTCTTCTCATTTCTGCTGTTCAGAATATTGTATGGCTTCCTTGTCAGTCCTATATGGTGTTGTTTTAATGACTGTTTGACAAGAAAGACTACTTTTATTTTTTATTGGGAGACAATTTTCTTCAGTAAGACATGTCTCAGTTATTTCATTTATGTTTTCTTTCTGTCTGATTGATTTTAGACTGATGTGGTTGTGATGTTTTAAATGTCAGTTAATTATTTTTATTATTGTTAATAATACTATTAGCAACACATTGCTTTGCATAGCCTTGGTTTTCTTTCTGTTTTGAGACTTTGGGTTTCTACTGTTTCAAAGAAGACAGTAATTTTTATTACAAATTTCAGCTTTGAATATTATACTTACATATTTGTCTGTTTAATGTCCTTGAAATGAAATCTCATTTTTCCTTTATGGCTTTTTGATTGTTTGCTTTTTTCCTACTGACCATCTTCTACTTTAAAGCATTTTAATTATTATTCATTTAGATACTTACAATAATAAAGCATAGGTTTGTATATACCTTTTTGACCCATGTCACATAGTCCACTGTTACTTGTAGTGATCAAATAGCTTTTTGTTAGGTTTGAGTTCTGTCGTTGTATTCAGCGTGATGTTCTCTCTTGCCAGAGGGAATCCTTGAAGAGTCATAGGTTGTCCACTCACCAAATGCCTCCTCTCAGTTCCCACAGTATTCCTTCTGCAAATGTGTTGGTTCAGAGTGGATTATGTCAATTGTAACTCACTTGCTCCTGTACTAAAGTGTCAGGTTTGCACATTTTTCTTGTGTTTCTCTTCACACCAATCCCCTTCTATTTCATGTTGGCAAAGCAAAACATCCTTATTTTCAAAACCATCTTCTTTTCAATCATCTAAAAGGGTATACTTTAAAAAATGTGATTCCCTCATTTTCTGTTCCTGTCTTCATCTACTCCATAGTCTGAGACCACCCATGAATCTTCCCAAATAGAAATACTGAAATTGTTGATACATTTTTTAGTTTATTTTGAAATTCTAGTATAAATTCGAGCCTTGAAAATGTATTACTATGCAGGCACACACTAGAGTATGAGAGCAAAGCCAAAAGACTAAGAACAGACACTGTTTTTAAGAAGAATTGGTAGAGTCACATTTTTATTGGCAGTAGTGCTATGTGGTAATTTGTGAAAGCAATGATTCCATGGGACAGGGTATCTGTAAGATTTATGTGAAAACTGCCACTGCTTTAATTGATGTGCCCGAGGTATCTCTGTAGTACAGAGAAAACAAGGCTGAGATGTCTTTGCTGTCTGTTGGGTGTAGCTGGACTGCTGTATTTATTGAGTGTGAGCAGAGTGTATATTTGCAAGTGCTTTCCTGACGAGCAGTGGAGTCTGTTTTTCATCTTTAGGAGCAGCTTAGAAATTCTGGTCGAGCTATGTGAAAAGATAGATTCTGGCATTTGGATGATATATTGCTCTTAAGAACTCTCATGAAGGAGCAGGAAGATGGATTAGTATTTGTAAGTCAGCAAGTTACCATTCCATTGTATAATATTTCTTAAGTAGGTGAAGTAAAATTGGCACAAATACCATGCTATTTATATTTTAGTTTGAAATTGAACTGGTTGTCAGTGTTTTGCTAAGCCCCCTCTGTCTTTGCTGTAGGCAATAAGAAATGCTCACTCTAATTTTAATATTCAAAAATGTAAGTTTTATCTGTGTATCTTTAGATTTAAGTGGACAAGAATAGTGATTTTACCATTAATCTCTTTAAAACAATTCGTTTGAAATTAAAATCAATTCACTACAAATTAAACAATGCAATATTATAAGTAGACAATATGAAATACTTAGATTAATTTCAAAGTAAGGAGATACATTTTTAACAAAAGTAATGGTAAATTCAAGCTATAAACCGAATTTTTATTACTATTGAATTTGATACTTAAATATATTTAAATGCAATATCCATGGGAACACACTCTTCATTATCACTAGTGAGATGCACATTTAAATGTAAATTGAATGACAGTGCTAAGATTTCACCTTAACAAAGTACATTTTAATTTTACTCAGTGAAGTAAAGAGATAAGCAGCTTTTTTGAAGTATGTGCTTTTGTACACATTGTGCAATAGTATAAAGTTCAGTTTTATGTTTTTTAATTTTTTTCACTTAACTTCTTTATTGATTCTTTGGCAGTTTTACATCATGCACCCAAGTTCTGCTTACCTCCCAGTCCTGGTCCCCCAAATCCTCCCCTCATCCCTGAGG